CATTCATTTAAAAAGCTGGTCTCTTGAAAATGAGGAAAACAGGTAAAATGGTTTCAGTCTATTAATCCATGTGAAATGCTTCATTAGTGGCAAAAAGTTAATATGACATACATTGTAAAATATAAACTTTTTTAAAAAGCTTTTTGTGGGCTTGTTTTGTGGGCCTCATCCTGTAGCTTTAACTAGCCTGAAACTCACTATGTAGACATCTTCACAACTCTCCTTAAAATTAAAGAGGAAACTGCCTTACTTTGTTGATGAAAAATGTCACCAATTAAAATACTGTATCTACGGCAGGTAAGATATCTCTGTGGGTAAAGCTGCTTTTATCAAGCCGACAATCTAAGTTCAATGCCACGATCTACATGGTAGAAGAATGAAGAACTGATTCCTGAAAGTAGTCCTATGACTTCCATATGTGTGTTGTGATATATATGCATGAACACACATACATACACAGAGAGAGAGATTATAATTTCAAAACTATAACCAGTTATATAAAGAGCCCCTTTTGTAAATAAGAGCAATGCTTTAGAGATATGCTAAACCCCAATAAAATATATTTAAAATCCTATAGAGAAAATGCAAACTGAAGCACTAGCTAGCTCTGAGTACCAATGAAAATGGCCAAGATTTAAGAATAACAATTCTAAAAATTAATAAGGAGCTTTCTGTGTGATAAAAGCAGCATGAGCTAAGGCGAGCATATTGAAGTTGGAATAAATGTTCACTTGAGTAAATACTGGAATAGAAAGTGAAGAAGGGAAGAGCCAAGAGTCAGACACTGGAGGGCCTGCAAGACAGAGATAAGATTTAGAAATAGCTCCTGATACGGTTTCATCACGTGACTATCAGCATATACTCACACAAATCTAGATGGCATAGCCATACAACCTGACACTGATTACCATAGGCAACTCTCAGTAGGAGGTATTTGTGTGTCCAACATAGAAAATGTACACTAAACAATGGGAAATTTTCAGTTCTTTACAAATGTATGGAAACTGCATGCACAGGTTTCTGTGAAAAGATACGTGATTGTATTCAGTTAGCAAAGGATCATGATACAGTTTCCGTTCTGGAAACCTCCTGCTTTCCTCCTCCCAAGTGCTGGGATGGTAAATGTGCCCCTAGCTGAGGGTAACACGATTTACTTGAGCTTTAGGGTACTCTAATGCCTGTTTTTTATGGAATACCCCAAATGAGGAATGCACAGAAACCTTTAAATGTTTTCTAACTTCCCCTACCTCTGAAATGGTTCTCTAGGCTCCATTTCTTGATATTACTCATCTCTCAACCATTCTCAAACTCCTGCCAACATCCTCCAGCATCATCAGATCTCCTTGTACAGCTCCACTTTAGGCAAGTACTCTCCTGTGTGGGTGCAGCACTAGCCCTCCCAAAGGCTGGCTGGCCCATCCCTTGCAACTACCTCTGCTTTCCCTGTGCCATTCACAAATGGCCATTTAGAGATGCAGACATGGTCTGCTCAACCATGGCTTCTTTCCCCCTCCTGCCTTCCCTAACCCCCTCTCTAGAGACCCCGTACTTCATATGTAAGCACTGCAGTTTATCATCTCACCAGAATCCATCTTACTCTCATCCTGACATCCCACTTCACAGTGCACTCCTGGACAGAAAGCGCAGCCTTTCACTTGTACACTGCCCACAGCACCCAGTAGCAAGAGAAGCACAAGTTAGCTCATCATTTCCCCTGACCTTGGAAATGTACAAATACCTTCCACCCAGCACTTTCTTTTCCAAGAATTTATCAAACTGCTACATGTGCATAAATTTTCAAAAACATTGTTATCAAAGTATCAATTGTAGAGAAGAACCATACAAACTACAAATAATACGACCCTTAAGAAAAGACCAATTTTAATGTATATTGCTAATCAGAAAACACAAAACATGGTCTGGAGAGGTAGCTCAGTTGGTAGGGTACTTTCCTAACATGGAAGCCCTTAGACTGGATTACCAACCCAACAGAGAATCAGGTGCAGTGGTGGTAAGCGTCTGTTATCTCAAGAGGAGGAACTACGAGGACCAGAAGCTCAGAGGTATTCTCACCTATGCAGCAAGCAAGAGGCCAGGCTGGAACACAAAGGACAAAAAAAGGAAGGAATAAAAGAGGAAGGAGCGAAGAAGGGAGGGAAAGGAGAGATAAATAACTTAGGATATTACTTTATATGATCCACAACAAAGAAGCCAGTGAAAAATTGGCAGAGAGAAGGTATAATGTTATTTTCTAAGCTTAGTTATGTAAACATTCAAGCCTACAATTCAGAAGAACACATAAAGTTGTTTGATTTTAGTGAGGAGGATGGAGCCCAGACCATGTACATGCAAAGCACATGCTTCACTGAGCTGAGTCCTCAGTTACCACATAACTTAGAAAGATCATCTCTGCTAAGGAGAATGGGCTGTTTGCTTAGAAACACTTCTATTTTGTTCAATACAAAAATGAATAAGGAGCTCATATGACATTTGAAGTTAATATATGTATACACACATACATATATATAATATATAAACTCACTGTTCTAAAATAGCCATCTATAAAACAATTTAAATATATACTCATTTTGTTTGAAATAAGTAGTTCCAGGAGACTACAGTAAAATATTAGCAGCTTGAGAAAGGATATATTAGCTTGATTAAAAAAAAAATCCCTCCAATAAACAAAAACAAAACAAAAACGTTCCACTACTTATTAATTACTATAAGGGACTGGGCACCACACTGGTCTCACAGCAGCCACTCAGTTACTACATCTTACCTAGATCTAACATCAACAGAAACATGGCTGGGAACGCCATTTCACAGACAAAGCTAAAAAGGAGACAGGAATCTACAGAGGAAACAATTCTGAGAACCACCACAGGAGCGATGGAGTCTACCTCTAAGATTTTGTGCCTGACATGGGACACCAGTCTTACACACCTTGCTCCAGTGTACACTTAGGAGTGTTTGAAATTAAAGAGCCAAGGCTTCTCCCCTGAGTATGTAATAAAAATGAGGATCGCTGCACGTTTTGTACCTTACTGCTTCCGTCTCAGTACTGACCCTGGACTCCCACTGCAACTGTTTGTCTGACTTAGCCACTAAATCTGCTAGCTACTCGCTATCCGGTCAAATTGTTTTAGTTTTTAGTGCCTTAACTGATAGTCATGGTAGCCCCAGGACGTGATGAATCTCTGCTCTCCAGATGAAGAAACCACTGAGCAGCGAGACTAAAATTGAAATCTGGAGATTTGAAAGCTTCAGTGTCATCTTAAGCACTCACCCTCTCTGCACGTCTTTCAAGACAGAGAACATTAGCAACCTTCTGACAGTAGAATTCTGAAGGTCAACAAGTCCACCGGGATCCAATGTTTATTTTCGGAAATGCTGCTGGTTCTGCCATTATTAGATAATTAGAAACTGAAATTTAATTTGCAAGAAGTATGTGACACTTTCTGTCTGAAAAACTGTTTACAGTAATAAACAGGAAATGTCATAAGCAAGTTAAAAAAATGAGTTTTAATTCTTATTCTATCACTATTTTCCTCTTCCTATATAATATATAATATATATAATGATGCACCAGAGGCATATAAGGGTGGTTCCACAATAGTACATAGACTAGTGACATGGTAGCCCTCTTAGTACGTGCAGATAGATTCCTGCTTGTTCACGCAATTGTGAGACACACATAACCCTACGTTTCTTAGAAACCGTCTTAGCCCTTAAGGGACGCATGACTTGCCTGAAGAACTGAGCATAGTGAATAACTAAGGCTAAGGAGTCAACATCACCTACTGTTACTACTGAAGGTTTTGCATTTTCCTATCAATACCCTCAGGATGTATTAGTGGTAAATACAAATCAAATTCAAACCTCAGGGCAAGACCCCTGAATTCACACGCTTAAAAAAACTAAAGGCAAATAGTGAAAGATGATGCTTCTTCTGAAACTCATGATGAACCCAAAACTCCACACAGTGCTAACACAATAAGCACTAATTGGTAAGTAGAGTCTGGGGAAACAGTTCAGTCAGGAAAGCAGGAAGAAGTGAATTCAATCTCAGAACCCACATAAATATACATGGCATAGTGGTTAGCACTTAATCCTAGCTCTAGGGAGGTGGCCACAGGAAGATGCCTGAGGACTCTATCCAATTGGTTAGCCAGCCAGCTTGGCCTAATGAATGATTTCCAGGCTAGGGAGAGATCCCAAAACAAACTGGACAGCACCTGGGGTACGACACTCAAAAACTGACAACGGGTTTCTATATGCTCATGTACCCACACACACATACGTAGTGAAAAAAAAACTAATTTGGAAATTAAACACATCTAGCCTTACAACTTATCAATTTATTGTAGTCAACTTACAAAATAAATGCTTCTAGTAAAACTCATTCCACATATTACCATGTGGAGTGCAATACTCTCAAAGTTCGAAAACTAAAAATCCTTGGGGCTGGCATGTAGTTTACTGATAAAGGTATTTGTCTGGCATTCTTCAGGCCCTGGGTTCAATCCATAGAGCGCATAAAAAAATATAGTAAAAATTAAATTCTTTAGTGTTAAACGCTTCGGACTTTTATATAACAATTTACTAATCTTGTACCAAGTTCAGGTACTTTGAGAAGATAAAATGTGTCCCTGACAGGCAGTTATCGGGGTCCCTCATGTTCCAGCGTGGACTGCTCTGCTGTGAGAGATGTGTTCCATGTGTTAAATGTTTATTTACTCTTGGAACTTCAAGTAGGGGCCACAAACTGTATCAACTCCCTCAGGTCTCACAAAGGTTCTACAGGGCAAAGACTAATACTTCCGTCCACTTTTCAAACAGGGAAACAGAGGCACAAGTGTGGTTGTGTGACTTGCCCACAGGGAAGAGGAAACAATGGAGGTGGGGATTCAAGTGCAGACAGCAGCCCTGCAGGGTCGGGATGCTGTCCTTCTGCGGGCCCAGTGCTGACAATGTAAGCGGGGTAAGGAATACAGTACCCGTGGGTAGCAGGGGCTCCAGCGGGGTAAATGCATGCTCCATAGCGGGTTATGGGTTCTGCATGGAAAACAAAAGAAGTTCCAAGTTAAACTTTCCCAGTAGTGATCCTGCGACAAGAGTAAGCGCGGAGCTGCTAGAACTTTGGCCCAGGCACGGCGGGGAGGCCAGGAAGGAGCGTTGTGGGCAGGAGAAAGCCCGGGAAAGAGGCCGGACGACCCCCACTAGCTGCCGCCTCAGTGGCCCAGACGCGCCAGCTTCCATCCGGGCACTGGCAGCGAGGGGCGGCCTTTCTCCCTCCCTTCCTCCCGCGCCCCCGCCCCGCGGGCCCGCGCGGGCAGCCGCGCACTTACACAATGGCGGGTGGAGCCACGAGCGAGGCGAGCGCGGGCTGCGGGAGCGACGGATCGGCCGCTCGGCGCTCGGCTGCGGGGCCTGAGGCGCGCTGCGTGTCCGCGGGAGGAGGACTCGTGCGCGCGCACGGGGGACCCGCCCCTTCCGGAGGGCCCAGGGCTGTCGTCGGCGAGTCTGCTGGCGGTTTCGGAGGGTGATCGTATCCTGCTGCACTCGGTTCCCTGCCGGGCCAGAGGGTTATTCCTGTCTCTGGGTCTACCTTCTCTTTGCGGAAATAATCTTTGGAAACATTCCAACGGAAACACTTTCAAATGAGTCACCGCTTTGTAGGAAGGCAGTTTCCCCTCGCGCAGTATAAGCAAAGCTTAAAGAATCAAAGTCTCCCCGGCTGCCACCACCACTCCTAGATCCACAGAGAGGACACAGAACTTCTGCCAACCCTTATGGTCTCCCGTTGCCCCAAACATCACACAAACTCATCCTTGCGTGGGCAGGATAATCTCCACAAGAGTTCACCCGAAGTGACCCGCCTCTATGTGACTTTGCTCCCGACAGACATCAAAAGCACCCGTTTTAAGATGCCCTTAAGATTAATAAAACGCAAATTGGAGATGGCAGAGAAGGTTGTGTTTACGTGTAACCCAGGATTGCTACAACACAAAAGGAACTTTTAAAATCCCAGCAGTCAGAGGCAAACCAGTGAAATGATAACCCAGGTGTATTATCCATGATATTCATGTAGCAAAAATATAACAGTAAGAGGACAAATTTACACACACATGAAATTTATCCGTCAGCTTATAAGGAATATTAGTTACAATTTACAATCATTAAGCAGTTACCTTTCAGTTACTGTTGAGGGCTTTTGTGGTTTTTTTTTAATTACTATAAAATGGTTGCTGTAAAAGAACAAGAAAAGAATTAAATGCTGACCATTGTTTACTCTAGAATCTTCATAGTTTAACCCAATGACTAGGAAAGGACAATCAGTAAGTATTGGTTGGATATTCACACTGAAATTTTTTCAGTGCTCTCCAATGTTGCCGCTCTAGCTCTTAGAAATGGTGCATCTATACAGCTTCCTAATTCCTACCCCCTTAACCTGTAATCAACTACACCTAGCTATAATCACTGTCTGTAGCTGTTTCACCCCTGTATAGGTTCTCCACCTAAGTAGTCTATACACACACATGCTTGCACGCACAGGCGCATGCGCACACTCATTTGTGTGTGTGTGTGTGTGTGTATGTGTGAAATGAATTAATCCATCGTAGAAAAAAGGTGAAAATTGTAGTACATCATATCAGATATTCTTAAAACAACAAACCTAGCCATTGTCCTTCGTGGAATAACATCACTAACAGTAAATTTTTTTAAATAGGAAGGGTAGAACACCGTCAGTTGTGCTCTTAAATGTATTTGAATATCCCTAGAACATGGTTAATGATGCTGTGGTGGTTTAGATCAGAAATGCCCCCTAGTCTGAGGCCTTTGAACACTTGGTCCCTGTTGTTGACACTGGGAAGGTCTGGGTATTACACCCTGTCTGTACGAAGTTAGTCACTAGGTCTGGGCTTTATGATTAAAAGCCTTTGCCCACTTGCAGTTTTCCCTCTGCGTCTTGCTGGTAGTTGAGAATGACCTCACAGTTTCCTGCTTCTGCCATCATGCCTGCATGCCTCTTGCCATAATGGGCTCTTATCCCTCTGAAACCATAAGTCAAAATAAACTATTTATTCCTCAATGTGCCCTGGTCATGGTGTTCCATCACAGCAAGAGAAACTGACTCAGTGGATGCTCCATGTGAAATAGAGATGGAATAGGTAGAAGTCAATAGAGTGTGGTAAATATGACTTTTTATTCTCAAACACTGGGTATCATATAACATTTTAACTTTTAGTTGACACCATAATTGCATGTATTTATGTGACACGGTGTGACAATTGGGTATTCAATATACAATAATCAGATCAGAGTGAAAGACCCTCAGAGTGGTCCTTCCCTCAGGAGGAGACCCCAACCTAAGGAACAGTCGAGACCACTGGCTGCAATTAGCAAGAGGTTTATTAGGTGGGCACAGGTATCTGTGGGCGGCAAAGTCCTTTCAGAGGACTTGCACACCTGCAGGCTGGGAGAAGGTCTTTTTAGAGGAAAGGGGTGGCAAAAGCAGGCATACAGAAGCAATGCATGGTTACAGGGATCTCATTGGTCAGTTCGAATGAGGCGATGGGTTCATTTAGGGGACAAGTTCCTCGGGGACATGAAGATATGATAGTAGCTGACTTGGCCCTATCTAGGGCACATGCAGTTTTTCCCAGAACTGTCCATTCCCCTCCTAGGCCTGGTGTCTGACCACAGATATTCTGTTTGGCAGCCTAGGAGTACTGACTTTAACTTGAACTTATACTTGTTTGTGTGAAAGCTTTGCAAAATGGCATTACAGCAGCTAAGCTGGGGTCTTTCAAGAGAAACTGGTATATGTTTGTCTTTGTTTTAAAAATCCAGCTCCATGTATAGCAGGCTAGCCTCAAAGTCACGATGTTATTGAAAATGACTTCATACATCTGATCTCCTGTTTCTTCCTCCTAAGTACTGGGATTTCAGTCATGGCTACTGTCAGGTTTATAGGTTCTGGGTATCCATCTAGACAAGCATGCTGCTGACTGATGTACTTTCCCAGTCAGGTAATAGGTGTATCTTACTAACTCCAACATCATTCCTTTGTATTTGAAATATTCAAAATGTGCTCCCCAACCTCTGGCAACCATTATTCAATTTTCTCCTTTTTTGAGATTAATATTTTAGCTTCTAGATAACAGTAAGAATATATACTATTTGTCTTTCTCTACCATCTTACTTCACTTGATAGACATAATGTTCTCAAGTCCCATCCATGTTTCAGTAAATGCCATTATTTCATTATTTCTACAACTGAAAAATATTTAACTATATCTAGAACATTTTTATTCATTCACATTATCGTTGCAGTTATGAATACTAATTCAATAAGCGTAAGAGTGCAGAGTGTTTGACAGAGTGTTTCTCCATTCTTATTGGATATATGCCCAGTAATGGGATTGCTTGACTATATAGTAGTTTTATCTTCAGTTTATTTAAGGAATTGCCGTTGTGTTTTCCACTGTTTTTTGCTAACTTAAACATTCACCAACCATGCTTGAGAGTTTTCCTTTCTCTGTCCTTGTCCCCTTCCTTGCCCCTACTTCCTACCTACCCCTGCCACTGTCCCCCTCCTTGTCTTCCTTCCTACCTACCCCTGTTATAATCCCTCTTCTCCATCTCCCACCACCTCCATTACTTTGATGTCCTGCCGTGATTTTATTTCTTCTCCCTGAAGATTTATTATGTTGGGCACTTTTTCTTTATACTTTTTGGCCATCTATGCATCTTCTCTTGAGACATTGTTGTTCAAGTCATTGTCCCATCTTTAATTTGGGTTATTTGTTGGCATGATTGTTTCAAAAACTGAGTCAAGTCCCTTATACATTCTAAAAATGATCTAACATCCCACCTCCAGTTCTGTGGCTGTCACCTTCTGATGCTGATTTCTCTTTCCCTCTGCTCTGTCAAAACATGCTTAACTCAATAAAGACCCAATATTTACTTTCTTTTTTGTTACTTAGGCTTTCAGGATCATGTCTTTCCCCCACCCCACCCCAAAAATATCTTCATTCAGACCAGCGTTCAAATGTTTTCCTTATATTATCTTTTGGGATTTTCATATCTTACATTTAAGTCATGATCCATTTTCAGTTGTTTTTTGTTTTGTTTCAAAATAGAGTCTCTCTTGGAACTAGCTCTTGTAGACCATATTAGCATTGAATTTACAGAGATCTGCCTGCCTCTGCCTCCCAAATCCTGGGATTAAAGGTGTGCTAGCTTTCAGTTGACTTTTATATACAGTAGAAGATAGGTGTCTAGTTTCTTTCCTTTTCACATAGAGATCCAGTTTTCCCAGAATCCTTCCTAAAAGGATAGTACTTTTTCCAGGGTATGATTTTACTGCTTTTATTGTCATCAAATGGCTAGAAAAACATGTATTTAAGCTCTGGGTTCTCTTTTCTACAAGTTTGTACTCCTAGTTTTAACCTGCCTCCCAAGTGCTCAGATTACAGCTCCTGTGCTGGCACTTCCTATCTTGAGTTGCTGTTTTGATATGTCACTTTCTAGTATGTTTTGAAAACAGATATTGTGATACCTACAGCTTTGTTCGTAATACTTTAGCTTTCAGGGCTCTTTTGTGGTTCAAAACATTTTTTCCATTGTGTAAATGTACCACATTTTCTTTATTCATTCTTCTGTTGAGGGGCATCTAGGCTGTTTCAAGGTTCTGACTTACAAATGATGCTGCTATGAATATAGCTGAGCATATGTCATTGTGGTGTGATAGAGAGTCTTTTGGGTATATACCCAAAAGTGGTATTTCTGGGTCTTGAGGTAGATTGTTTCCTAATTTTCTGAGAAATCTCCATAGTGATATCCAAAGGGGCTGTACCAGTTTGCACTCCCACCAGCAATGGAGGAGTATTTCCTTTACCCCATATCCTCTCCAGCATAAGTTGTCATCAGTGTTTTGACCTTGGCCATTCTGACAGGTGTAAGATGGAAGCTCAGAGTTGTTTTGATTTGCATGTCTCTGATGGCTAAGGATGTTAAGCATCTCCTTAATGACATCTTGAAATTTAGAGGCAAATGGGTGGATCTAGAAAAAAACATATTGAGTATAATAACCCAGACCCAGAAAGACAAATATAATATGTATTCACTCATAAGTGGCTTTTTGACATAAAGCAAAGGAAACCTGACCTACAGGCCACAACCCCAGAGAAACTAGACAAGAAAGAGGACCCTAAGAGAGACACACATGGATCTACATAAGAAAGTGAAAAAGACAAGATTTCCTGAGTAAATTGGGAGTGTGGGAGTCATAGAAGAGGGTAGAAAGGGAGAGGGGAGAAAGGGAAAGGAATGGAGAAAAATATATAGTTCAATCAAAAACATTAAAAAATAATAAAAAAGAAAAAACATTTTTTCTGGGAAAAGTATTAATATTTAGTAAAGAGTCCATTAAACACACAGATAATCTGGGGTAGTATTGCTAGATTATTTAAAGAGCAGTTGTGGAGAGAGGAACCATGGAAATAAAGAGAGACTTAGTCTGACACCGGTGGAACATTTTTGTCACGCACATGTGCAGATGGCCAAAATGCCTAGAGAAGATGGACCATAGCGTCTTCTAGCAGTGGCGGAGATTCCCATAGCCTACAAGGACACTGAGAAGTGTAGACTGTGGACAAGAAGTTATCAAAGGGAACTCTGTGTGACCGTAAAAAAAATGCAAGGCAGGAAGGAATGTTATAACTGGTTTCTGCCGAGAAGGGTCTTTGTTGGATGTTGTAGTTCTGGCTCCACTGAGGAGATCATCCTCTGGTCCTCTAGTCGGGGTGGGGGTTGGGTAGCAGTCTTAACCTGATGGATCAGA